AACAGTGAGGGGGGCTGGGTGAGGCATGCTTCCCGCAGGACTCCCTCTGACGCCTGTGCACCGATGAATTCTTCTGTTTTTATGTAGAGGGCTTCTTCTCCTTTTTAAACATTTTACTTTCAAGAATCTCAAATATATACAAAATTAGGCAGAACGGTTACACAAGACCCCGGGTACCGGTTGTGTGGCTTAAATAATGATGGGCTCCTGGCCAGTCTTCGTTCATCTTTCTCCCCATCCATTCTGCCCTCCCACCTCACTTTGCAGCAAATCCCAAACACCTAATCATCTCACCTGTAAATACTGCAATAAGTATCTCAGAAGTGTACAAACTCAGAACTCCTTCTTTAAAAAACTGTGGCCAAATACCACTGTCACGCCCAAACAGGATGTCATTTTTGTGTTAATATAATCATTGATTTCTGGCTCCATTATCCCATTTTTTTATGTGATAAAATCTAATCAGAATTTGAAATATTTCTCCAGATATGCTTAAATACAAATTCAAATAAAAAATAAGGGTTGCACCTGGAGATTTACCTTAAATCTTCTTTTACAATTCTAAATGAATCCAAATGTTTAAATCTCTACTAAATAGGATATGAGACTTGCATCCATAGAAACTGAAACAATGGGGCCCTTTTTATTCCTGCTTTTCTTCAAAGGGAGAACATTTATTCAGCACCCACCACATGCAGGCAGGCTCTTAGGAGGCTGCAGTTCACTTCACTTCCCAGAAGAGGAGAAATAGGTGGATAGAGACCAAGGGGACCCACACGGCTGGCCCCTGGCAGAGTGAACACCTGAACTTGGGTCTGTCCCCTTTTAAAGTCTACGTATTTCTACCTCTACACACAGGTAGCTTCCTTGTGGTAGGATTGTTAAACTCCCAATGGGAAATGGTTTTTCTCACTCCTGGCCCATTACTAGACTCAAAGAATGTCAGATGGAACCTGGGCCAGCCTTTAACACCCCCACTGTACAGATGAGGACATAGAGGCCTGGAGTTAAGAAGTCACTTCCCAATGCCATTCAAGCTGGTAAGCTGCAAGGCCAGGAACAAAAATCACATTTTATGTCTTTGAGGCAGTACCCTTTCTCTGTTACAGCCTTATCTCTGGGTGGAATCGTTCTAGTGCTCTTCCTCCTGCTTTAGTCCTTTGCTTAATAACATGTTAGAACATCCAAAGGCCGACAGCATCTGGGAAGCTCTTGTAACAGCAGGACACAAGCACCAAAGGTCACAGTCAAAGTCATTCCAACCCTCCTTGCTGTGCCCCTGAAGCGTATCACAAGAGCTCACGCCCTTCCCACGGACTGCTTAGCAGCATGTGCTGCGTTACTGACAAGCCCGAAGAAAACTGAAGTCACGTTTCAAGAGACTACAATAATAATCTACTTAGGTACCATAAAACTAAGGATGCAGGAGTCACAGAATTCCAAACAGAAGGCAGGCACACAGAGTTGGTGTCCATACGTTAGTGTACCTGTTCAGTTCACATAGCTAAAAAATGAACACCATGCCACCAATGAGAATGTCTGTTTCCAACATTCCCAATTTTTATTTTTTTGTTCACAACAACCCTAGGAAGTTGACAGAGCGGGTTCATAACGAGCTAATGACTGGTTTCATATTTTTTCACCATGCCAGTTATAATGCCCATGAAGGAAAGCATGTATTTCTTAACCACTTGCCAGGTGCCAGGAGCTACAAGAAAAATACAAGAAACAATTCTTGTCCTCCAAGAGCTTACAATCTGATTGAAGAGCTATGACCACCTTCACACACCATAAAACTATTAAGAGAATGAGGCAAGGCAGCCAGAACTTTTTAGAGAAGAGAGAAAGCAGAGTGGCAAACCTAGACCCATTCCACAGTCTTTCTTCCAGCTCTGAAATGTGGTCATCGGGTCCTGAATTCCTTGGAAGACCGGGGGGGAGGGGTATGCAAAGACTGGCTGACAGGGACTATTTATAGCCAGGAGAGGAGAATGGATATATGCGTGCACGCTGCACTGAAAAAGAAGGGCCAAGTAAGGTAGTGTATCTGGGGCCTGAAAGACACACAAAACTTTTCTTCCCCCAAAAGACTGGACGTTTAATGTCTATGTCCTAAAAACACCCTGGAAATTAGGTCTTCCATAGTGATGACAGAATCCAATCCTTGACATCAAGCTCAGGCTTTCTCATTCATTGTTGTGATGCACAGATTCATTTCTATAACTTTGTGTTCATTGTTAGTAATATCTCATCTTTTTCAGAAACCCATAATCACACATAGGATTATTTTAATTTCACCACTGTTTACAATTTCTTATAAAAATAATCAAACTTCAACCAGCTTTTAACAGGAAATGAGGAAAGAGTCCTATAAGATGGAAATAAGGAAATGTTTAGAATTCTAGTATTCCTTATCTAAAATAGTTCTGGTTCTGAAGTTATACCATATATCACCCATCCCCGTTATATCCCAATTAAAAACTCCAGTAAAATGACCAAAAGCGAAGTTCCCTAAAAGTCCAGATTTAATCCCTAATTTTAAAGAAGAATGGATTTGAAATACTACAAATGACTAAATACAAATTACTGTATTCCCTAAATAATTAGGTCATAATACATTTCATTAAACACTGGGCTGCTTCTCTTAAAGCTTTACTGTAAAAGAGAACAAAATTATATCTGCCATATATTTAAGAAGTCCATACAAAGCTTAGGAAAAGAATAAAATCAAGTTTCTACTTGCCTTCAACATACACAATCTAAATTAGGGTTAAAATACTAACAACAGCTCCACTTACAAGGAGAAAAATTGATTTTAATGGCTAAGCATTAAGTAAAACCTATGAAGCTACCATTTTTCCTGTCCCTGAGGGTAGTAAATAATGTCTAGAAGAAATGGGGCATGAGGTTCGTATCACAATGTAAAATCCCTGGGAATCCTGGCTTTTGTTTTTTGTGCATCTAAATCCTTCATGCAAACCTTACCTTACCCCTGAAAACTGACAGTAAAGGAGAAGTATCCTGACATCCTCAAAGATTCCCAGACCTAAGAACAACGATGCACCATCCTGGCTCTGACCAGTGGCATAAGTAGTACTCTCTGTACTTCTCTGCTTTCCTCCAACATGCATGACTTGAGTAGATTTACTGCTATTCAAGTTGAAGAACATCTCGTGAAATAAGAGCAACAATGTGGAATATACCACTCTCGCTTTTCTATCAACGCTATCCTCTGTAAATGAGATACTCTGGTCTGTGTGGTGTGTTCAACTTAAACATGTGGTGTGTAGAAATTTATTTTATGAAACTGATGCTCACACACTTAGATGAAGAAAACAGAAATTCCAAAGAAATAAAACAAATCCTTCCTATGTTAGGTTCAACAGCAAAGGTAAAAACTACTTGGCTTGGAAGACATAGAGTTTAATTTGGTGAGTCAGGCTAGAAAATCCAGGTGAACACAAGACTTTTTCTGAAGCCTTGTCTACAATGAACAATAATATCAATCGCCACCACACTTTTTTTTCTATCACGATGCTCCATTGTCTAAGTGTTAGGTTGAACCTATGTGAGTCTGTCATTATGTCATGCACAGAACAGAGAAGGTGTGTTATTGGCTGACATACCCCACAAAGTTCACTGCAGAGCTACAACAATCAACACTGAATATAAACTGTTTCAGACACAGGCTTAGCGTGAAGAAGAGAACTATATATTGAGATGCCATACACCTTGCCACAGATTGCTCAGGGATGGGGAAGTTACTGGAGAAACCCCCACATGCTACCATCTGGATTCATGCCCTCGGTTCCTCATTATGAAGTCCCTCAGTATCCGAACCCCTTGAATGGAGTCCCACATGAACTCATGCACACAAGATTTTTTAAGTGAAATTTTATTTACATTTAAAACATCTCTGGTTGCTCACTTACAAAACATTGCCAATGTTTTGCTTTTTTTTTGGTAAGAGATACATTAATAAGATTAAGATTAAATATTTTCTTAATTTATCCTTGTTTTGGTCATTTGTAGGGCCTCAGTGGTTGTGAGTTAGTAACACAGGTAGGCAGTGTGCCCTCGGGCACACGGTCTGTGCTTTCTCACTTAAATACAAAACGTGGTTAGCCAATGCTGCAAGCAGTCATATTGCCCTTATTATAATTTTAACTAGTGAAGCTACAAATGTTAACAATTATAAAATCACCTAAGTTCTTTTAAAAAAGAAATCCAGCTGTGTTCTTTTTTTTTTTTTTTTTTTTTTGACAGAGAGATAGAGAGAGAGAGCACAAGTAGGCAGAGAGGCAGGCAGAGGGAAAGGGAGAAGCAGGCTCTCCGCTGAGCAGGGAGCCTGATGCAGGGCTCGATCCCAGGACCCTGGGATCATGACCTGAGCCGAAGGCAGATGCTTAACGACTGAGCCACCCAGGCGCCCCACCAGCTGTGTTCTTAAGTCTTCATACTTTCACTAGCCATACGTTAATCTGTCAACTTTGCTATGTATTGTTATATAAGCCTTCCTTTGCTTTATTTGCATTTCAAACTCACCAACTTGAATTTCATCAGCTGTTCTCTAGTCCTCACGGTATATAAAACGGTAAATACAAATGTCACAAGAAAAATCAATCCAACAAACAGGAACATTCCCATACCTGTACTCTGTAACTTCCTAAGAAAGAAACAAGCCATTTTGGCATGGAGGTTATATTCCTATCTTATTTTTAAATAATTCCTCTTTGCTTTGGATTTTTATTAGCTTTTCAAAACCTTCACTAACTTAAATAAAACCAGATGGTTCTTATAAGGTCACTGTGCCTTCCTAGTTTCAGGAAGTTGTCTTTTCCAAGTTAGTAATGTTTGAGGTTGCAAATGGATGAGAATCAACCAGTCTCAGATGATCTTTACTTGAGAGAAAAAAGCAGAGGGCAGCAAACGTCAAGATGCTCTGGAAATGACTGCCCCTATCATAAAGAGAAGAGGGTGGGGCATCGTTGGAAACTTACCCCTTGTTCAGATTCCAAAAGCTCTGTTTTGACTCTGACTGACGGCATCCCATCAAGCATTAACATTCTGTTCTCAAAGGTGTTGATATTCTGAGAGTAAAAACAGAGAGAGAGAGGGAAAGTCAGCTATAAAGCATTCAAATGAGGGCATCTGGTAGACTCTTCCTTCATAGTACATTTAGTACTGCTAACCTAATTTTTTTTAACAATGAAGTATAATTAAATGAGAATATCAGCATAACCAATTATCCCCCCATTCTGAACTATCATTTGAAATAATGACCAAGAAGTTGAATTAATCAGTCTGATTCTCTGACCTCTGGGTTGGAGGTCAGACTATAATAAACTGGAGTAAAGAAACCTTAACATTAATTTATATGGGGCTGGAACAATTCATCACACTTTTGCAATAGTGGAAGGAAAGAGAAGGATGTTTCCTTCTTCCTTAGTTCCAGAGGTTGTATGTGTGCAGAAATCCACAAAGGAGAAAAAGATAAAAAAATGACCGTATGCTCAAATTATCATCAAAGTCTAAATAATTTTAAAAACAAGATAATATAATTCTAGACACTGAACTTTGGTATAGCACTTCCAATCAAAGGAAAATTTCTATATATTGACCCCAAACATCTATTTCAAAAACAACTCATATAAATTTTGGATTAAGAGTGAATTTTTAAGCTCAAGTCACAACCAAAAAATAAGTAACAATTTGTTTTCTATTTTGGTGTATGTTTGGCTGAATTTACCACTTCTTGAAAGGAGAACCTTATTTCTATTATGACTCACTAGAATCTCAAACAGTATTTACGAAAAGATTAAATCAAGGTTATTCTCTACTAATTTTCACTGTTTTGGGGCTTTTCTAAAGTCAATAACCTATGAAGGGAGTTTAAAAGACACTTACTATTGCTTGCTCCAGGCCAAAATCATGTTTTAAAACATGTTTAGAATGTCAACTTTACCTTCATCTACTGACCAAACTAAGAAACTGAAATGACTAAGTTTGAGTTTTTAGAATGGCTCCTTTGCGCAATCATAGAATGTAAACACATGACTCTAAAGTGGTCTCCTTAAAAAAAAAAAAAAAGAGAGAGAGAAAGAGAGATCTGTTTCTAAATATTTTGCCTACCTTTGATGACAAAGGTTGGTAGCATTTCTAAACCTTCAGGTTTTTGCCTCTCACATAGTTGCTTTTCTATCAAATAGTTAAATAAAAACAACTCTCACTTTGACAAATCATAAATGTTTTTATTACCAAATAATACCAACAGAGTGCAGTATAGTAAAGCTCTAATTATCTCTCTTTCTTGCCACTCCTTTTTGTTTAAGAAAAATAAGAAATAAAATTTATAGGGCCTCTTATCAGAAATATTTGCTCTGAGACATCAACAAGAAGAAAAGGCAAATTTACTCTAGAACTAACTAATGAGCATTTAAAAATTCCATGCTACCTAGCCTATTAGATAATAAAAAGGAAGAAACTACTGTTTGATTTTCTTAGAAATGCGCAATATTATTAAAACTGGCAGGATGCATTTTTTTTTAATTTGTGCTTTTGACTTGTCCGTATTTTTTAGGCATTTTGCATCCCAATAGCTTCGAGCAGAAAGAACTGTGGTATCCCTGGCAAGCTCAGTTAATGTGTTCCGAGCTTTAAATCCTTTCATGGAGGCTGGTGAGTTGCTTACACATCAGGCATGGATCTCAAATCCTACTGTGTCACTTGCTTCCGTGGATGGAAGCAGCCAGCTTGGCTTGCAACTACCCAGTTTCAAGAAAGCCTTCCTGCAGCCGGCCAGCCCTCCACGCCCCTGCCCTTCACAGCAGCCAGAAATCTATCCTAACAAAGCATCCCGTAGGCTGTTTGGTTGGTAGACAATGAAGAATGAGTTGATATTGCTTCCTACCCGGGAGGAGGTCTTACCCAGAGGAAAAGGGAAGATGCCTTGCAAAGGCAGGGAAAAGACAAAGAGCGATTCTGGAAAGACAGGTTTAATGAACTGGTTGGAATCTGATTAGAGGCTAATGTCCCTCTTAGTGCTTTGTAACCAATTTACAGCTGATAGACTTTAACCATGCTCCTCACAGGCTGTGATAAACTCATTAGTTTAAAAAATGCAAGCCAACCAGAGTCTTTGAAGTTAAAAACTGATAAATCATGAAAACCTGACTGGGCCCACGTTCCATTTAGCACATTTAAATATCATTGTATTTTCATGATTTTTTTATTGTTATTCTTGAATAATCCTACGTGTGTTAAAGACAGGATGTACACTTTAGTTTCACATAAAAGTGGAAAAATAAAACACCTCTCGAGAGTTTTTTTAAGAAATTAAGTTTTCCCTGGAAATATGTCTCTTTCCATGATTTTCTAGGATCATCCACAGCCACAATGAAAATAAACACCATGAATAACAATGTTCACAGCTAAGAAACCAATCCTTAACTATTAAACTCAACTAGTGCAGATTCAATTTATATATACGCCTAAAAGCAATACTGTAAATATACATAAAGCATATTAATCTCTACATTCACGATTCTAATCCTGTTTAGTATATACATAAGCACTGAGCATCACACCATATTCCAGACCATTCAGGAAAGGGTACAGGTTTTATGGAGCGCATGGTAATTGTACAGCACTGAGGATATAGTTCCTGGGACAAAATATTGATAGATTTATCTCCCTAAGCTAAAATCAGATACATACAATCTCAGCTGACTGTAGACTTTAAATATGTAATAAACTCTAATAATTTGAAATTGCTGTCAAACATATCTTGCCGTGATCTTAATCAAAACACATTTGCTGTGGAATCAATAGCTCAATTGATTCCCATGAGGCAAATAAAATTACACAGTCATCAATTTTAGTAACACTGTACCCTTTGTATATTTATGTTGTAATGAACATTTTGATATTATACAACCCTGTATAATTTATATATGTGTATGTATATATTCGTATACACATGTACACACACGTGTGTCCACTTACAGTGTTGCTTTGTATGAGCACATTTTATTAATTAAAGCAAAAGTTAACCAGCAGATTTATTAGCTGGCTATTGACCAATTACATGTTCACTGAATGAGAATGGTACTCTGGACTTTCCTGTTTGCCAAATAAGATTTGGCAACACAGAAGTCCAGCTGATAGTAGCTCTCCTAGTCAAAAGCAGGACAAGCACAACCTTCAATGATCCTAACGTCTCAAAATATTTTGAATGGAATGTGCAGGAAGCATACGGACCGATGCTCAATGATCATCTCATAAAAACAGAATGAATGGGGGTGGGACTTTCCCATGGCAATTACTAGAATTTGTCCTCCTATTCCCAAAATGCAAGCCTTTTCTTCACCCTCCTCCTGACTGTGGGTCATCCAGTTCTTTGGAGAAAACATAACTGTTTTTTTCATAACCCCAAAACTAGTGCTGAAACACAAGAGAATCAGTGAATTCATCTTGCTTTATACAGGTTAAGGATCAACAAACCTAAGAGATTAGAATTACACACAGCCAACAGTTTCAAATGTCTATCACTATACAACAAATCACATCGTCACATAAAAAAATCAATTATTATTATCTTGGTAACAAACAAAATAACAACACATAATATTTGCATATTTATTAAGGACCAGACCTTGTACTAAGGGATTCTCATTTGGCCCTTAAAGCAACCCAAAAAGTCAATGTTATATTCTCTAAAGATAAGACATCTGAGATACAAGGAGGTTAAGTTGGCCAAGGACTCAAGATAACCAAGGGGTACAGCTCTGTTCCAAACAAGTCTCCCTCTCCCCATCCCCCATCCTTCCTCCTTCTCTTCTCTCCTCCCTACCCTAGCCCCCTCCCCCCATCTCTCTCTCTCTCTCTCTCTCTCTCTCTTTGTCCTCTCTCTTCCTCTCTTCTCAGGAACTCTGGAATCTCCATTAACAGCTCCTCTCAGAACTGAGCTAATTTGAATTGAATGTGCAACTTCTGGCCACTGGTGAGTATCAACATTTTGGGGAATGTCAATAAGAGGTCAAATAAGCCATGGTTTCAAAGTGATTTCCTTTTTTTTTTTTTCCCTCCCCTTTAAATTCAACTTTCAACATATTTTCTTAGCTTGATGAGATTATGCATCCTATCCTAGAAATAGCTCATATTTAGCAAGTCAATCCCATCCTGATTTCAACATCCAGAAAAATCTACCATAATCTCATCTGCAATCCAGTGTTTTGAAAATATTCATATACCCTTGGTAGCTCATTCAATATTTACACAACAGCTTCATGCACTTAGATGATACAGGAACTTTACCCTCTACATTTGATACTCAAGAGAGATACATCTGGGCATCACATTTAATTTATAATCTCTTAGATAACCATATTGACAAAACTAAGAGCTAAACTAGAGACCTACTGGAACTCTCAACTTAAATCCCCTTCAGCGGTTTCAATGATTCATATATACGTTATTTTGAAATATCTGTCTTCAGTCTTAAAAATAAAACTCTTCCATAAATTCCTCCCACTGAAACATGGAATTATGTCTCTCATAAGGACTGGTAAAACAGTACTTGCCACGTAGCAACTTCTATTTTCCCGATAGCAAGGATCATTCTGTTTCCTATGTTGGCAAGTGCTAAATTACCACAACAATGCAGTTCACACTGATATTTTAGAAATGTCATCTGAGATTCCAAATAACACTCTCCACCCCAGCATTAATACTAAGTGTAATAGAATGTTATTTTTGTCATTCATATTCTGAAGAACTGCACACACTTGGGGATTGTGAGTTAACCAAATCTCTCCATAAACATGCAGTGAGGGTCTCTGCTACGCCAAATTCACCTCCTTCCAATCACACGACATCTGTGAACCATGAGGCCCTGTGGCAAATAAGAGGGGCAAGCCAAAGACTGAGGAACAGAAACCAGGTTAAAAAAAAAAAAAAAAAAGGGCAGGACAATATCATGGCAAGAGAAGTGTTCACCTACCACCAACCAAACCCTAGAGAGGGAGGGCAAAACCTCAGTCCAGCTGGGCAGGTATTAACATTGCAGGAAGAGATCTAACATGCAGGGGCAGATATGGGGTTATCAGGATGAGGTAACAAGTAGTCTTGATGTCATGTAAAGAAAAAAGAAATGGGCGCCTGGGTGGCTCAGATGGTTGAGCGTCTGCCTTCGGCTCGGGTCATGATCCCGGGGTCCTGGGGTCGGGTCCCGCATCGGGCTCCCTGCTCCTTGGGAGCCTGCTTCTCCCTCTGCCTCTCTCTCTCTCTCTCTGTCTCTGTCTGTCATGAATAAATAAATAAAATCTTTAAAAAAAAAAAAAAAAAGAAAAAAGAATTATTCAGCCATAAAAAGGAAAGAAATCTTGCCATTTGCAACAACATGGATCAACCTTGAGGATATTATGCTAAATGAAGTCAGTCAGAGAAAGACAAAAATCAAATGATCTTGCTTATAAGTGTAATCTTAAAAAAACAACTGAACTAAAAACACCAAAAAAATGAGCTCATAGATACAGAGAACAGACTGGTGGTTGCCAGAGGCAGGGCATGTATCTGTGTGTAGGGGGGAAGGTGGTCAAAAGGTACAGACTTCCACTTATAAAACAAATAAGTCACAGGAATGTAATACACAGCATGGTGACTATAGTTAATACTGTATTGTATATTTGAAGACTGCTAAGAGAATGGATGTTAGAAAAAAAATTTCCTATATAAGGTGATGGATGCTAACTAGACCCACTGTGATCATTTCACAATATATACAAATATCGAATCATTAAATGTCATACACCTGAAACTAACATAATGTTATACATCAATTATATCTCAATAAATAAATAAAGACAAGAGAGAAGTGAGTTTAGTCCTGGAAAAGGAAGCCAGAAACAAGACTCTCTACAAGTCTAGTAGAAACTAATTCTGAGGGTTTAGCCCCAGCAGAGGCCAGACGGGAATTAGAAAGCACATGCCCAGCCCAAGCCTCCTTTCCTAGGCACACGCAGGCAAACAGAAACCAGGCACCGTGAGCCCGGGCAGAATGATCAACACAGCAGACAGGCTCCACACACGGAAAATTACACTGGCAACACAACTACAGGATGATCACAGGGATCACAATTTTAAAAATAATAATATTAACAACTATAATAACAAGAGCTACCATTTGCTGAGCATATATATACTGAGTGTTGTTTCATGCGCTTTACATTCATCACATCATTCGTTTGTAGGTTTAACTGATTCATTCAAAAAAATACTGAGTATCGGGCACTGTTTAGGCATTTAGGGTATAATCAGTGAACAGAGGGGAGAAAGTTTTATAGAGTTTCATTCTAGCCATTTATTCCCTTTTTTTTTTGCTATTCCTTTTAGACAAGAAAATTCAGGTTCAGAGAGATTAGTTCATCTGCCCAAGATTATGAAAACAGCAGCAGTCTAACTCGGGGGCTAAGTCTACTTTCCATGGCTACCAGGGGTAGACAGCCTCAACGGCTGAGTATTCGGACATTGGCTGCAAACCGTAGGAGCCCAGAGCTGCCCAAGGTACTCTGGCTATTGTGCTTCAGGCTCCTGAGATCTGACAAAAGGCTGGAACCAGGGCTGAGGCCGGAGCAGCAAGGCAAAGGCAGGCTGATTAGAGAAACACTGAAGGCAAACAGTATGAACGCTGTCTAAAGCCCTTACCCTGCCCTACAGGAGGTACCTCGGACCCCATGTCCAATGAGCCTTGAACCAGCTACCCTACCCCATTTATACTCTGCTCAGACTACATTTCAGCCATGTCAAAAACATCCTCTCCTCTGGGCCTCTGTGTATTCTTTTCCATCTTAATATTCATCACTACCGACAAATTCTTTATTTGCTATTACACTGGAATGTAAGTTCCAGGAAGGACATGACCTTGTCTTCTTGTTCATAAGAGTATCTCTATCCCCAGACTTAATAACTGTGTCTAACAGATAGTATGTGCTCAGTAAATATTTTTTGGGCTAATGAGAACAATAAATGTAGGCAGACATAAGGTCAATTCATTCTCCTGGGTCTAACTGACCCAGGTGGTAACTGATGGTTGACAGATGAGAAGAGCATAAGCACAATCTTATTAGGGCTATAAAATACCCCACCATTTATGAAAAATGGTAAAGGATTTGGTGTGGCTGGAACATACTGCTCACTGGAGGAGAAACTGGAGAGGAGATCAGGTCAGATTGTAGAGGGCCTATGTTATGGCACTTTATTTATTCATTAAAAAATGTTTCTTTAATGCCGCTATATGCTAGCGGCTAGGGGCATGAGTGAACAAGACAGAAAAGCTCCCTGCCTCAAGAGCTAGAGGTACATGGGGAAGAAATGTGTTTGGGCATCACACAATACGCAACTGGAAGTTGTGAAGGCCTATTTAGCAAAAACACAGTATGTTTAAGCTTTGTGTTTAGAAAGATAGCACTAGAATTAATTTGAAGATGCCTATAAACATATAGGACCGGATGCAGAAGGAAGAGCCAGTTCATAGGCCACCCCAGTAGCCCAGGGGAGAGGTGGTAAGCTAGACCTAAGGCCATGGCAGCAGGAAGAAAGAGGAGGAAAAATATTTGAGAAACAGTTCATGGGTAGAATGAACAGCCTTTGATGATTGACAAGAAGGAAGAAGTATGGTGATGAAAAAGAGCAAAAGGAAGTGTCAAGGATGGCACTAATCTTTCTAGATTGTCCACAGAGTTGAGACAGGAAACCCAACAGGAAAAGCCAACCATGTCATATATTCCTCCAATATCCCTTAAAGGACCTACTCTACTCTGGGTTACATGAATATTTGGGTATATCATTTAATTTCAATATATTTTTGCATACTCAAGATCTATGACCCACAAAGAAAGATTTCCCTTAAGCTGAGTATGTTCAAATCTTCTAAGAGACACATAAAGTCAAATGTATCCAAACTTGGAAACACAGGTTTGGTTGAAATAAAGCAAACGTATATATGACATTTTATTATCTACCTATTCAAGACAAGAACGGACTCTGCTTTTACTAACACTGTCTGTAGGATTTGTAAGGTTTTACAGACTTACATGATTACTGAAACTTAAAAGAAGAAGAAGAAAGAAAAAGAACAGATATTTGCCAAAGTACAAGTTTAAAAGGACTGTACATTAACATATTCACCAGTCATTATTACCCTTTATGAAAATCATGTGGATAATAATGAAAACACATCCAGAACATTGAATGGATTATATAATGAAATAACAACACCGGTCTTCTGTGCCTAGAGAAAATTAAGATGACTATCGAGTATTGAGTCATTTGTTTTCTGTAGGAAACAAAGGAAATGACTACTGACCTATATTTCCACTTTTCCTGGTCTACAATGATGTCAAATGGCTCCTTATCAAATCCAAATGGATTATCTTGTAACAACATGGGCTTGTTGAGTGTTTGTCTCCTGCACAGCCTGAAAAAATAGCACTGAGGAGTTGGGAATAAGTAAAAGAACTTTGAGGAGAATTAAAAACCCAGTTAATTTTTTTTTCTTATTTTGACTATTCTGATGAAAACAAAAAGACAAAGCTCGACTTTAAAGTTCTCCTCCATAGCCAGAAAGATGTGTAAACTGCAAACAAGTAAACTAGGTTTTTACTGAGTTAATATTTTATACCAAACCCTTGAAAACCCTAGGCACAATATTGGTTTTTAATGCATGTTTCAAAAAAAGTAAAGGTAGAAAAAGGTGAATTGTACAGGTTATTTCATCCAAGAAGGACTGCCAAATCATGTAAAAACAATACATAATGTTTGTCATGTTGTCAAAAAATGTAACAAAAGTAATTGTTAAAAGATTATACTGACAATGACAAAGTTGCAATAGTTCGCATTGTCTGGCCAGCCATGTCAGACACATCACAAAGTGGCCATGCACCTCCTCTCTCTTTTTCCCCCAATACTCTGAATCCTGGGAATGCAGTAAAGACATTACTGGTTGGCTGCCAAATGCACAGGCTCGACTCAAAATGTAGTCTGTCAATTTCCAAGTATATTCACCTCTAGCTATGACTTTTCCAAATTCCCCAAATGATGTCTTCAGGTGTAATAATTAAATTTTATGTATCATCCAAATCCTGTGCTAAGTCAACGTTTCTATTGGCAATGCTGTTACATATCGACTTTCATTTTTTTCCAATACCATCTCCAAGAATTCAAACTACCTGATCTTTTACCTTTTTAAAAGCACTCTATCTTCCGAGTCTATGCTTTTTTCTGTATGCTTTCATAATTGCACAGAAATGTAAGTAGGAATAGGATATTGTCTAGAACATGAGCTCAATAAAATACACTTCCTGGGTTAGACTCAACATACTTGTTTGGCGTATAATCTTACAGTTTCAGTTTTCTTATCTGTAAAATGCAGGTAACTTTCTACTTCACAGAACTGTTTTAAGGATGCAATAAGATAATGCACACAAAGTATTTCAGTACTATACAAGTCTTTTATGTTAATAACTATATTAAATAATTTTAATTAGTAGTAGTAATACTATTTTACCCATCTTTCCAAACTTACTTTTTTTTTAAAGATTTTTATTTATTTATATGTCAGAGAAAGAGAGGGGGCACAAGCAGGGGGAGCGGCAGGCAGAGGGAGAAGCAGGCTCCCCACTGGGTAAGGTGCCCGATATGGGACTTGATCCCAGGACCCTGGGATCATGACCTAAGCTGAAGGTAGACACTTAATCGACTGAGCCACCCAGGTGCCCCTATGCTTACTTTTAAGAATGGATGTTCTCATCTGATTTTTGTTTGACTCTGAAGAACCACTCAGGTTTTTGTATTGGATTCTATGAACTATCATAAGGGTAGAATGAAAATGGTAGATTTTTTTTTTAAGATTTTATTTATTTATTTGACAGAAAGAAAGAGAGCACAAGCAGGGGGAGCAGCACTCAGAGGGGGAGGGAGAAGCAGGCTCCCCCACTGGGCAGGGAGCCCGATGTGGAACTCGATCCCAGGACTCTGAGATCATGACCTGAGCTGAAGTCAGATGCTTAACCAACTGAGCCACCCAGATGCCCCAGAAATTCGTAGATTTGTTAAAAAAAAAAAAAAATACTGATGATAGGAACTGAAGGAAGACTGAGCTACACAATTAAAATATAATTTCTCAGGAAAAATGGCAAGAATGAACTATGTTGTCTGTTTCAAACTGTGAGGATGCCCACCAATTACATAGGGACACAACCTGCCTCTCCCTGGGCATCCCAGGGAGGGCATTTAACATCTCTAACTACTAGACACAACCATGAAGTGTCCGACAGCCCTTCCCAGCAACCAAATGCTATTTGATGCAGTTATTATGGTTCCCCTTCATATGACTGCCCAGAAATATACAGTTTTAAAGAAAAATATTTACTACTACAACATATCTAACATGCAGGTTACTGGAAAAGATACCTACAGAGTGGCCTATGATTCGAAAGGCAGAAAATTTTCGAAATTATTTGGGGAAAACAAAAGAACTACAGAGAAGATAAGATAAAGGCAAATGGCTGAAAATTTGCATATTCAGGGCAATATGAAGCCAATGATATTAACACCTCCATGTCATTATCCAGGCTGCCGTCATCTTGAATGTCTTTTCCCCATGTCAGCACTTCCTCACTTTATCAACCATTCTTACCCCATTCTCAGAATTTCTATAAGGTATGTGTATGTGTGCGTGTGTAAATAAATTAAATCCAGGGCTATTTTTTTCCCTTTATGGGTACTTCTCAAATTCTAAAATGTAACACAATGGAAGTCAGAAAAGAAACAAAATATATTCAACAGAAATCTGAAGTACATGTTTTTATTAAGGAATTATATAACTGCACAGCATTTACTCGGGCCTTGTAACTTCCTGCCAGCCTCTTAATAAATCTGACCAATAAAAATAGAAACAGTATAATTTTGAACCTGTGTAACTTATTGCACCCAGGAAGTTTCTATTACCTTTTTCTGCTACTTGATACTGAATATGGATAAAATAAATGTTACTTATAAAAGAGAGTAAATATGCCCTGCTTAGGAAGTCCAATGCCACGACTCAAATATTCTTTCAGAGCAGGGCTTTTCAACATCTGCAATCTGGACATTTAGGCCAGATACTTCTTTGTTGCCGGGGCTTTCCTGTGCACTGTTAACATGTTCAGTAACATCCCTGCCTCCTACCACTGGACCCCAGTAGCACTCTCTCACCCCCACAGTTGTACTAATCAGAAATTGTCAAATTTCTCAAAGGGAGGGGGATGGTGAGAGGAGGAAGCTGTCCCCACTTAAGAAATACTAGTTTTGTAATTACTGATATTATAAACTCATTAGGAAAGAATTTTATGTTGAATCTTATTACCCAAGAACATAAACACTACCTCAATATCAAAAGAAAATAGCATCCGATATAAAGAATATTTATGGTTTACTTTAAAATACACCTGCTGGGAAATTAGCAACATTTTATAAGATGGTTTTATTATTTTGTTTAAATTCCTTCTAGACCCCTTTCTGTGTATCCAAATTCTCCCACTAAACAAATGCAAAGATTCCAGAAAAGAGCTGTGAATTTGGTCATTAGTTCAAGCTACAGAGGCCTGACAGAAACCTGTGAGGATTTCAGTAGTAATATAGCAATTTCAGGAAGCTCTCCTGACCCATTCTTAGACATGGCCAATGAGAATCGACCCATGCAGCCCGGAAAATTCCCAAAGGAAGAAACTGTAATTATCCAAACAAACATGGCAATCCAACTTGCAATGAGAAACTAGAAGACAGAGTTTTAATTCTTAGCTCTACATATGATTTACTGGATGATGTTTTATTTACTTTTCTTCATAGAAACCAGGACTCTAAGGCTACAAGGAAACCTTAGAGAATTTGACTGCATCTTCAACAAAAAGAGTCAAGTAACAGAAAATCACAAATTAAATCTATTAGTACATAAGGATTAAAAGGGACTTATAAAGGAGTTAAAGTATTATATAAGGTCACATATTATATATGTGGTTGTATATAATACATGTATGTGGTTATATACTATGTATATCATGTAATATATTTAAATATATAATTAGCAAGTATGATTATTTAAATTAAATAAAGATTATTTTTCAACACAATATCAGATATACACAATCTTTAAAATCAAAGATGTTGCTACTAGATTTTAAGAGGGCAAAACATGGTAAAGTTTATCTTGCTCATAAGTACATGGCTTATTCCTAAAGATCAGACCGCTATGAACCATCATCACCTTTTGAATGCTTTAAAATTGTAGGAACAATAGCCTCAAATACCGTAAAATGCAATTTTCTCCTTCAACATTAACTTAAAAGCTTACTAAATTCTGAAAAGAGCTGAAAATACACAAATAGATGAGAAACATCAAGGCCTATGATCATCTTGGTAAAAACAATGAAAGCAAATGATATTCCAGAAAAATCACTTAACAAGCACATATATGTGTTTATAACACCATACTGCTTACAGTAATAAAAAAAAAAATCAATCTAAATGCCAAAAATAGGAAACTAGTTGAATGGATTATGGGACATACAAACCACTGAATACTATTTATTCATTAAATTTATGATATGTAGCTTTTTGTGTTGAAGTAGATAATAATTCGTGAAAAAAGAGATGACAGGGAGTAGGTTGCCGTATGTTTAGAAACAATGCTCATAACAAAGACAGTGTGAAAGAGATGAAGAGGAGGGAGAGGGACAGAAAAAACTGAAAGGATACACATTCAAAATCACAGGTGGCAGGACGTGGAGAATTATTTTTCATTTCTGCTTTGACAAATGTTCTCACTTTTTAGGAATTTCATAGATTATCTGTGTAATTAAAACAAGTATTTGGGTGTTCACATTTTGAGATAAAAAAGAACCAAACAGGTTAAAAGGAAAACATGAAAAAAAATCAAAGGAAAGAAATCAACATTTTTATCTAGATACTCTCATAAAGTATAAAAGGGTCACCTCATTTCTGCACACACACATGCATACATATACACAGAGTCATGTACTTTCATGCTACAGTTAAAATTTAATTACTACAAATCTAAAAAATATGAAGATGAAATTGAAAGTAACTTATTGTCTAAATTATATTTGTAATTGATGCACTGAAACCTGTTATATTGCTTCATGTGGGCTATCAATTGTCTGCAAGTATTTTCATTACACAGAGATCAGTGATATACTGCTATTCAACCTGCAAATTATGTTCTAGGCAATCCCATGACAAGACAGAAATGGACACATGACACTATTATCTTGTGCTAAGAATTTACCACCCTGAGAAAAGAAGCCATGGGCCAAATACTTTTCTTTTTTTTAACCACAGAGTGCCAGTGAGTATATTTTAAATGATTTTAGTCTTGTGAAAAATCAATCTTTTCTGTTCTTCTGTGAAAAACTATAGGAG